ATTTCGGCCCTATGACAATATCTGCAAGCGTTTTAAGTAATTAATCAGGTACCACGACCAAAAATGAAAGAATATCAACAGCAGTAGAGAACTATGCAGCAGGCTGTTCTGCATATGTTGGGAAAATTCCCTAGCTCAAGTGCAGAGATACTGCCCGACCAGAATTCTACAACATTTATGGTTGATACTCGCAGAGTTGGAATTTGTAGAGGATAAATCATAAACATTGAGCAAACACCTTTGATCTAACTGTCTGTATACACAACAATATCATTAAGTAGCACATTAATTGTCGTAATTCTGAACAATAAAAAATAAAACAAGAAAGAATGGGGGAAGGACCCAGAAGGGGCTGCACAGTAGATGCGCTGGACCAAAAAAAAGTTAGATTGCCTCACGGTTTATGCTTATCAGACTGCATAGGGTTCTCGCAAGCCCATAAATATTGCCGTGCATGGGGTGACGGTCAAATGTCTAAGGGTAAGCCTTCACGCCACGTCCGATCGCAACACTAGATAGCTCGGACATTGACTGGTACATGGGAGAGAAAAGAGGGCGAGGCCAAATCTTAAGAAGTCAGCCTCAGGTCACATTAAAGCATTGTTCACTATAATCGATATGGCGCACTTGAATCTACTACGATGCAATAAGAACTCTGACTGCCAGTCAAGGGTGCAGCTCGGACGTTCTTATGACGTACAGTTAGGTTGCAATGGCTCATTGTTAACACAGTTTATGACGTGCTCCTGCATACAAAATTGAAGCCGCTCTTGTGAGGGCCTGGTTCATTGAGCGAGGAACATTCTGTATGTGGCATGCTTAAACCTGCTATTTAGCTTTATGAACCACTACACCGAACCCACCTCTGTTCGCCTTACCATTAACATGTCGCCCGAGCCAACTGTGCAGTAGATGCTGTGCTAGTCTGTCTGAAGCAAATTCTATGTCCGCCGTCCACTCCGTAGGGCACACTGCGCACGTTGCACGAGACAATCAAATTATTAGTGATGGTCGTAAAGAAGGGGACCAATATTGCCCACCTGATATCCCCAACTATAAAACGCAGGAATGGAGACATTGCACAGCAGTATAATGGGAGAAATCATGTAGTACGTGGTGCGGATTGCAAAACAAAGACACTAGTAATAGGCTCACGTGTAACGCAAATACCTACTTACTTAATTGCCTCTAAATACACTCTGCCAGTCTGGAGCCCGGGGAAAGCAAATAGCATCCCAATTAGGGCAGCCATCAGGGCCAGTGTTGACTGAAACATGCCCCAACTGACGGTCGAAGATGCTGCCTGTCCGCTCGAAAAGCTGAGATTCCCATATGCAGAATACAGTTGCAGATCAAAGCATCGACCATCCGTACTGATGCAGAACATGGCAGCAACAAAGGAGCAGAAAGCCGTCGTTAAGAGTAGAGGCCATTCTGAAGCAATTTCAGTGCTTGAAGAGGCAGTATTGTTGCTAACAGCGCCACTGACTCCGTTTTTCCGTCTTTCGATGGTATCCTCACGATCTTTGACCTCCTCGCTTCTGGGGCGAACGTAGATGCAGAAGGTGGAGAAGAGTGCGGTGAGGGAGAACCAAACTAAGAAGGCACACCAGACTAAGCTCACGTTTATGGTGCTTGGAGCAAAGAAGCTGTGAACAAGGAAAAAACCGCTAGCATCGCTACTGTTATTCCCAGTCACCGTGGCATTATATGCCGACATTGACATCTGCCGCAAGCCTAGGACTAGTTCATTGATCAAAAAGACGAAAAGAGCACAGACGGAGAAGTCTAGAAGCCAAACGAGTTCAGAGTATAGCGGAAGGCAGGCAAGTTCGACGAGGTGGACTGTGGCAAGCCGGAGTTTGAGAGGCGTTGCCCGGGGAAAGTGAAATTTGTCAGCATGAGCATCTAGGTTGGCAGAGTTGGGGGCGGATCCTGAGCCAAAGAACCCACCGCGGTGCTTCTTTCCTGTCAGGGATAGTAAGAGAATGTGCATTTTTCTGAAGCAAGATCGCAGCCGGGATAGACAATATCCAAATGAAATAAGGGAAGGCTACGCCCATAAACAATAAACAGAGCAGATAAATTATTTAACTGCTGACAATCATTCATTAATAAAAACGTGCGTTTATAACTACACAAGTCTGTTTAGTGGAGGATAATTAAAATTTCAAACTCTGGACGAAAACAGTCTAGAGTGACAGGCCATTTTTCGACAGTCAGGTAGGCAGTGCTTGGCAAGCTGCATTAGACAGGTGACAGAGTTCATATAAAAAGGGACTACCTTAGATACAGGAACAGACCATTACATAAAAAGGAACGGTTCACAATGCAGTTTAATCAATAGCCCAAAGTGGATTAATTTCAAAATAATTTTAGTCGGAACCGCTGTGTTTGAAACAGAACGGGATGCACGCCTGTGTAGTTCTTAGCACGATTTTCTATTTAAAAATTCGGCAATTAACTGCTAATGTCATTTTACAGCACCAGACTGCTTGACTTTACCTCGCAACTCTTATCCTTATGGCAATGTTCCGGAACCAAAGGTCAAAGTGGTTCCAGTGGAACCAAAGGT